TTATGAAATTACAACCGATTGACAACACTAATACCAGCTATTGCAAGCTCTTGCTGCTGGCACGCTGCCGCTCGCTGCCGCTCAGCTGGCACGCTAGCGATAGTACAGTGCCGTAACTGTATTCGTAACAGTAGGCCCTACGCTAGCGCTGATTGTAATGAACGTAAAATCCGCGTACGAATCACGGGCGCTCGTGATAATGAAGTAGGCTGTGTTGGGGGCCAACACTAGGGGGGGATCGCGGACTAACCACAGCCACAGACTAAACATGGAAAGCAGACGGCACTACGCGCATTTACGTATATTGGTCAAACGAATACACCTGTGTTCGAAATTGAAGACATGTGGGTACCCGTTCATTAGCACCCACGGTTATTTACTTGTGCCTCAATACCGAGAATACACCCTGAGATACATTCTACTAGCTCATTAGTCGTTATAAGCATCCCAGGACAAACAATTCTCTGCTAAACACCCGTAGCAACATGTGACGCCACCGAACCGAAATCGAGGCTATATTGCTTGGCAAGCAATTTAGCGTTGGCACCAGATTACCAGATTTACGGATTTCAATTCGACATTTCTTAGTAACTAGCAGTGATATTGGACAAACTAATACGCGTTTGGCTATAAGGTAATGTACTTATTAACTACACAAGGTGCCAGTTACTCTAGTATTCGTTAAAATTGCATAATCAATGGACCTATTATGCCTTTAATTATTCACCTACAATGAATGTATCAAACGATACATTAATTATTTATTCACGTTAATAGTATATTGGTTAATAAAGTTGTTTCAGTAGAATTTAGTTGAACCCATAACACCGGAATATAGTCTCAAATACTTCTTAGAAGCACATTTATTCATTTAATACAGTTAACATTCCTTCAGTCAAGCAGTTCATTCAAGCGATTATAAGCCTTCTTGGCACACTCCATCATGTCATGTTCATCTTATCTAATATTTGTTTATCTTTCTCTTCAACATAATCCTCACTATCCTCTTCAAAGAAAATTACTGTAAAATGGGACCAAAATATTCAATGGTCTGTCGGACCATTGACTTTGAAAATCTAATGGTCCTCCTGATTATTTGATGGCCCCGGACCATCGGACCATCGCTTATTTTGACCCCTGTAATGTAACTCCCTCAGTCATGTATTCGGGACTGAGATTATGCAGAATTTTGAAAACATGTTGTATATTCAAATCATTAATATGGAATGACAAAGTGAAACGAAGAATTACTATTTTTATTTATTTATTTATTTAAAGGTGCCACATCTGTAAAAGATATATCGGCCCTAGTCTAGAAGACATGTCCCACAATACTTCATGTCTACAATACAATACACAATGGGTCATGTCTTCTAGACTATAGCTCCGATATATCAGCATAAGCTCGCAACCTCTTCACATTCATGGTTAGATGCCAAACTTAAAGATGGTCTTTTGCAGATGGCAAATGTCGAAAGAAATTATCACGCCCACTTGCTAGACGACTAAGTGACAACTATTAGTAATGCCGTTATACGGTTACAAGTTATACTTTTACCGGAATTACATATAATTCCAAATAATGAACATGTGTCTTCTAACAAAGTCGTACACAGTATAGTACAATACTAGTGTTCGCTTAGATCGTACAAGCGCCCATGTTTTTACGGCTAAATTAACATATATCTAGACTGACATACACAATTTTAGGATCCATAGCGAGCATGTGCCTATACATAAATGCATAATAGCAAAGCCACAGATCGAGGTGGGTGATTTAATGACTTAACAGTTTAAAAAAATTAATAATTTAAAATTAATAAAATGAATTTACAGGTGAACAATACATTGTCCTGTGATGTAGGCAATTCATTCTGTACATATCTTACTATAAAACTGCAACTGATCAGATGAATAGCTCTGGATTCTGGATCTGATTAATATTGCTTAAAGTATATACAATTATCAAGACTTCACTATACAAAAAAGACATTTAAAATAGTTAACGACATTCAACAAGTTTAAACTAATAGATGCCTCTATATTGGTTAAAAGGCTGCCACAAAATGACTAATCAAATAAAAATACTGTTCTAATAATTTTTGTAAAATGGCAAAATGAAGTGCAGGGCGTGAAATTAGCACCGGCCCACCGGCATATGCCGGCAAATTATTTGGAGGGCCGGTAACATTAGCAAAACACCGGCCCTCCGAGCCGGTGGTTTCAGCCATGTTAGCGAGTACCTACATATTTATTTATAGCCTACATTATTTATAGCAAATAGCTTACATTACTGTTTTACCAAGGATATTACACCATAACTTATCAACATTTTACAAATTTGAAATAGAGAATGCAAGCGTGAAACATGACATTGATTTTACAAACAAATTTGTGACGGCTGGTAAATTATGGTGAGGGCTGGTAAAAACTACTGTTACCAGCTCTCTGGTCCGGTGCCAAAAAATCTGAATTTCGTGCCCTGAAGTGGTAATTTATAAAATAAATAACCAAAATTAATGCATATAAGGAGTCCTTCGGATTGTCCTTCGTAAATAGGTTTCAGCCAATACGCACTTGTTGAAAGTCAAACCTGATTAATGGCTTGTAGTAAGCATAGTGTCTGCAGCAGGTCTTGGTACACAAGCACAAACTAACATTAAAACATGTGGGTCTGCGAGACACCATATGTAGGTGTGTCCATGCTTCCTTTGCCTAACTGTGCCTTGTTCTTATTCCGGGGTAGCACAGGTGTGGGTATATATCCTGACGAGCATTTCCTGTCCAGAGAGTGTCGAAAGTATAAGTCCACTGACATGCAGTACATTCACAGCAGTGTCAGAGATCTAGAGATCAGTGTGTTCACGTCAGCAATATGCAATCATAGGCATCCAGGAAGAAGCTCCCATGTTGTGTTGTGTAGTTGTCTGCCTGTGTGAGAGTATTTGAGACTGATGGATTGTCGGCAGTGGAAAAGTCACGATTAGAAATGTCACTGAGAAAAAATGCACAGGTAGGTTTTTGTGGCTGTAGCAGAGTGCCTATGTTCATAGCCACTGTGAATTTGCGCCATACATATTTGTCTCTGTACACATGCTGTGGCATTGCAACATTTGTGTTTAGTCTATGTAATTGGCCATGGTCATGATTTTAACTGCATTTTATTGTTTGCCATCTATGTTCTCCACCATAGTTAAACATTGCAAGTTGCTGCGATGTGTGATTGCGTGGTTTTCTTCTCTCCGCAGGCAGCTGCAGTGAATAAAGCAATCAACGCACAGGAAACGCCGGTGAAAGAGAAGCATGTGCGAAGTATCCTTTTAATGACTCGTGTGCGAATCATTCCACTTGCAGGGTTTCCTCTATATGTTTTAAAGTTTGAGCCAAGACTCGAACCACCAAAGTGATTTTTTAGCCCTTAATGAAAAACTATAGTCAATGCTTACATAATCATACATGATAGACAAAGCACAAACAGGTAGTGGGTGTGTGAAAAGGGGTGTAATTATTTAATTGTAATTTTGTTTGCTGGTAGCGAATGCTAGCAGTAGCCCCGTGTTAGAGCAAAGCATCCCAAGATGATTCAGGCAATTTAATGCTATATCAGCTATTATTAGCTCTTCATAACTTGCATGTTATTGTGAAAAATCATCTGTTTGCTGGTGTTGTAATAATTGGGGATAGAAATGTTTTAATCCTGAGTTGCTAAGAACTGACCCATTTTTATGTCGGTTTGTATGTTTGTGTACGTGCGTGTGTTCATCTGTGCGTGTGTTCATCTGTGTGTGTGTGTGTGTGTGTGTGTGTGTGTGTGTGTGTGTGCGTGCGCATGCATGCGTGAGTGCATGTGCGCCATTTCTCATAGTGGTATGAAGTAGTATACATGCATGAATTGGTGTTATAGAGTGGAACTAGGTAGAATTTGCAGCACCTGCACCTCACTGAACTTTTCATAGGCATTTGTAAGGTCAGCTCGTATCCTTAACGATCCACCAGTGTCGATAATCGGAACGTTCCAGGACCAGGGCGCCCGGGTGTTTTGGAACGTGGGCACGCGGCTGCCGCTACAGGGCAATCCTATCATCTGCTGGAAGTTCTGCTACACGTTGCACAAGCTGCTGCGCGAGGGTCACGCACAGACGATACCCGACTCATACAAGTTTGTCAGTCACCTTACTGACCTCGGAAAACTCTGGGTGCGCAGCGTTATGGCAGTGGTTAAAATCACACAAAAAGTAGTTGCCACCTGGGCCTGTGAAGTAAAACTATCAGGGGACCAATTCAAGTTTTACGGGCCCAGCTTAATATCACACAAAAGCGCAAAAGTTTTGGATTCGCATTCTTAGAAATTAACACTGAAATGATGCTCTTATATGCAACGCAGAGATTCAGTGCAAATATATTGAGTAAAAAGCTGTGTAGGATATTTTTGGGTAATTTTAAGTATAGATTTAAGCAGTTTTCATGCGTGTAGTAAAAAAAGTGCCTAAATCCTAGGAAACAGTATATGAACTGTATTTGTGTAACTGTAGCAATCGAACCAAAGATATTCCACTGATTATGGAGTTCATCTATGCAAATATACCCTCGTATTCTGGGTGACCTGATGAAATTGTGGGCCCCCACATTATGGCGAGTGTTAGTTTTCATGATTGTATGGGAAAGAATAAGTGATGGGGACTTCTGGGCCCTCTCATATTTCTTACTGTTATAATTTTTTGCTGCTATTGTAAGTAAGGATTCAATTCACAATGTCAAAAAAGTTTATTGTCATGATTTTTCATAGTTTTTGACACTTAGATGTAGTCATTGAGCATTACGTAACGATATGTATTTATAACATATAAACAAAATGTCACAGTTTGGAATTTTATTGAAGATCAGATATCAGATCTGTTGTTTTATACTTATGAATTATCTTTTTTGTAGGGTCTTCTGAGAGAAGGCTATGGCAAACTGATAAGCTGCTACTGCAAATTACTCGTTTGCAAACTAGAATTCCATCGAAAGGTACTACCTTAAACCATTGATAAATCAAGCACAAATAAGACCCGATTTTATCCGTATTAGTACAATGTATGTTCGTGTTACATGCTAATGAATTGTATATTATGTAGATTTTTATTGTAATTGCAAGTACATAAGTTCTTTGTGGCTTTGTTTTAACTTTGTGACTTTAGTACCCAAAGTTCCCAGGTAATCTACAAGTGAACAAGGAGATTCTAGACAACATTGGAGAAAACGATGTGAACATCTTGTAAGTAGTAGATCAGTGTTATTAATTCTGTGATATGAATTTTTATTTGAAATAATCATCCTCCCAGAGTTGGCCAGGGAAGGGATGAGCTGATGCAAATCGTTTTAAGATGTAATTTTTCGTGACTCGGACAAGGTTTACCAGCAAAGAATGATTGGAACATATCCTCTATATTACAAGTTATGTTCCATGTTGTGCATTTGGATGCAGCTGCAGTTATTGCAAGTTCCTTTAATTTAAACAGTTTCTATTAAACATTGTTACTCAAGCCTTGCTATTAAAATGTTTTGTCAATTCAAAAATTGTTAGTGTATGTAAAGCTAATTTGCAAACTCTTTCATTCGAATTAAGATTTAAGCCTTAAAGAAAGTGATCAGTATTGTTGTTGAAGTAATTCATTATTGTTATAGTTTTGAGCTGTGCACAGAATTCTTTGATTACATGGAGGAATTGCTGAACCTGCAGAAAGCTGGTGAGTGTCCTGGAAGCCAGTTGTTTGCTTCATTTAGCACACTCCTCATAATTGTCTTTTACATTTTCAGTTTTCACATTCTTCCTATTTTTCGAATTGTTTACCTATGTTTCGGGTTTGAAACCAATGCTCGCCGGGGGTCACCCGAGGCTAGTAGAAATCCGTAAGGGTTAGTAGCATGTCTTGGCTGACCACCCCTGCTGGTGAAGGCCGGTAATACTCAAATCCGTAGCTACATTTTGTGCAACTGATCCCATTTGATCGAAGTTTAAAATGTGTGTGTGGAAACGTGACAAAGTTGCACAACAACCTTATCACAGAGTGACGATGAGAACCGATGGTATAGGCACCAGGGTCGGAATACCAAATTACATGTCACAGAACGATCGTGATCTGGATAATGAGCAAACAGTGTTCCTGCTAAGTAGGTGGAGCAACTCAAAGACAGGGTCAATCATAACTTTAAGCAGAGCATGACTTTTTTTAAATATGCACTGATGTAAGGCTAACGGCGTGTGTTTACTACACACACGTACGTACGCTGCACAAGGGAGACAGGATACGCTAACGTCTTGTTGTTTTCTACATGTGCAGCGTACGTACGTGTGAGGGAGACAGGATACGCTAACGTCTTGTTGTTTTCTACATGTGCAGCGTACGTACGTGTGAGGGAGACAGGATGAGCTAACGTCTTGTTGTTTACTACATGTGCAGCGTACGTACATGTGAGGGAGACAGGATACGCTAACGTCTTGTTGTTTTCTACATGTGCAGTGTTCGGATCACTCGACATGTCTCGCGCGAACTCAATGACGAGTACCGGACAGTGTCGGATACACCCGCTCATACCCTGCATCCAGGACTCTAGCCAGCTGTACGACTTCTCTGTGAAGACCATGTTCAAGCTACATGCAGGTACGAGCGTCACAGGGTAGACGGCATGTCGGTGAGTGCTGTCTCATCATGGGGACATAGTGTATGTGTAGGCCGGTGCTGCTCTGATAAATCGTGCTGTGATGGTCCCATTCCAAATCATTCTGCTATGAGCTTTATTTCATCTGCGATTTGTATCGAGATGTATTGTGAGTGAACGTCGTTCATGTAGTGGTAAGAGATACTGTGATTATTCGTATGGGGAAGAGGCAGCAGCAAGATTGCTTGGATATGTTATTATTCGCGGTTTCTCTCCGTGTTGTACGGTCAGTGTTTCTGCATTTTTTCTAGCTCTGCCTGCGGATACATTAGCTGGCCACCGGCAGCGTTTCCTCAACCAGTTCAAAGTGTAGGTTTGGAGTGTAATTAAGTTTATGAAACCAATCATGATCCATTTTTTTCACAACGTGAGTGTTGATGTATGCATTTATGTGTGTGTACATAGTTTTGTGTACTGGTCATGCGCATGTTGAAATTCACGTGTTATGATTATGTTTCATGCGATCCTGCTTGACTTGAACGGATAACCACTCATCATTGTGTCGTATTACTTGTTTCAGGCTCAGAAATTTTTATCTGAGTGCCAGCAACCTACAGTATTTCAAGTACTTGATCCACGTTCCACAACTTCCAGAAGTGAGCTTGCCTTACTACACATATAAACTACTATTTTATGGAAAGAGAGAGAGAGAGCGAGAGAGAGAGAGATGCAGAGAGAGAGAGAGAGAGAGAGAGAGAGAGAGAGCGAGAAGAGAGAGAGCAGAGATGAGAGAGAGAGAGAGAGAGAGGAGAGAGAGAAGGAGGAGAGCGAGAGAGAGAGAGAGAGAGAGAGAGAGAGAGAGAGAGAGAGAGAGAGAGGAGAGAGACAGAGCAGAGAGAGAGAGAGAGAGAGAGAGAGAGAGAGAGAGAGAGAGAGAGCAGAGAGAGAGAGAGAAGAGAGAGAGGGGAGAGGAGAGAGAGAGAGCGAGAGAGAGAAGAGAGAGAAGAGAGAAGAGAGAGAGAAGAGAGAGAGAGAGAGAAGAGAGAGAGAGCAGAGAGAGAGAGAGAGAGATAAAAGAGAGAGAGATGAGAGAGCAGAGAGAGAGAGAGAGAGAGAGAGACGCAAGAGAGAGAGGAGAGAAGTAAAATAGCGAGAAATAAGAAAGCGAGAAAATTATTTTTGTGATGATTCACGGTGACGCTCTGGCCTTTGTGGGCTTGCAGAAAACCGCCCAACTTCCTTGTGGGGCCTCTGACCTGTATAAGTCACGTTAAGCCCCGTCGTTTGTCAGTGGCCGCGCGCAGGAAGCACGATCGGGAGTCTATCGTCGAAGGCTCCCTGGTCGACAGCGAGGTGGCCAGTTGAGTGTGCGTGCATGGGTTTGGGGTGGGGGGGGGGGGGTCGACGCCAAGGCCGTACGTAGAGGAAATTTTCTGTAGGGGGCAAATATGCGCAGGACATTTTCTGTAGGGGGGCAAAGGTATCTCGCCACGCCCTCTATTGCCCTATTGTCCCATAAAAGGCATGACTCTGAAAATCTCGAGGTCGGGGGGGAAATGGCCCCGGCTGCCCCCCTGCGGGTTACGGCCCGGGTCGA